TCTCCGGAACAGTGTCCTGCAGCTTTGCAGGGTGTAATGAAACGTTGCTGCTCTCCGAGACGCTGCAAGCCGAGCAGATGATCCTCAGGAACGGCTGGCGCGCGAGGGGAGCGCGGGGCAGCCTGGCTCCGGCAAGTGGCAGCTGGTTCCCGCTCAGCGGGAGCTTCATTAAACCCTGTAGGAATTTTGTCAAGTTACGATGGGAGAGCGTGATCAGACCTTATAGAGCATCTGACAGGCTGACACTGTGCTAAGGGAAATGTTTTCAGGTAATTCCCGGGACACCAGGGGAATAAGCAGTGTTCAAGCAATTCAGGACATAGCATCCAGATTGGGAATAGGAGCCTCAGCATGGGCAGCAAATGTTGTTGCGGAGGAATAAGAAAATCTAATGTTAGATTCAGGAAAACCACCATAGCCACTGAAGCGAGGCTATAATTCTGTTTTTAGACTGTGTCATGCTAGAAACTACGAGGAAGGCATAGAGGGAGGATGGAAGGGACCAAAGCATCATTTGGCTTCTTCCATTGCAATAGGGAATGCAAGACCACAAAAGATTTTCTGTGGTCATATAATTAAAACAGAGCCAAATTGTTACCATTCTCAGCTAGTGTCATTATGTGCTCAAACAGACCCTAGGCATAGACTCTAAATTGCAATGTTTGCTTTCTGTCTTAACCGATAGGTACTAAATGGGGGCAAAATGGGCAAGCTGTAATGACTGTATTATTTTTTGTTGGTGGTCGTTCAAGGAGCAATTTTATATTGGAAGAGTAGCATTTAAAGGGAAATTAGAACTGGAAGATACTTGTAAAATGTTGTCTTTGCCTACATTCATTTATATCTTCATTTTAGCTGCCACTTTCCTCTCTAGGACTGTAGTAGAAGAAAGCCGAATTTCCTCACTTAGGAGCAAGGGCCATATGTTCTGACAGTCAGGATATTTCACGTGTGGGGCGCTCTGATATTCCCAAGCTGCCTCGGCTATGTTTGTCTCACTGAAGACGTATTTGCCGTCAGAGATTTGAATGCTGGCCCTCACTCTGTGGTCATAATTCCGTATTCTTAGCTGTTTTCTTAAGCTGTGAAATAGTCAGGGTTGATATTTCGGTTATCTTTATTTTTTTAGATAGGAACAGGGGCCAATCACACTTTTCAAACGTTTCAGATGGTGGCACGTTTGTGCAGATGCCGCTTCCTCGTATTTCATTTACATTTGATTATTATTTTCTACACTGCATATTTGAATACGCTTTCTAAAAACGGATTGGAAGTACCTAACTTTTCCAACCCCTAAACACGTATATCCTGGTTAAATAATGGGATTGTGCCCCATCCCATTGGTGATGGTGCATGGAGGAGGTGCATGGAAGAGTCTTCACAGCTTTTATGACTCAGGTATATTTGCAGCTTTGGAGTATTTGGGTCACTTTAATGCCTTCACACTGTGCTTGAGTCTTTCATTGCTGCTCAGTATCAGCTTGTAGTGATTTACCAAGAGGTTCTGTCACACCAGCGTCCTGGCCTCGTTGTACGTTGCCTCCTTGAACTCCTCTCCATGGTCTTCTCAGGGCTTGGGTACCGAGACCAGGGGCAGCTACCTGCTGGAGCCCTCTCTGCCCCGCGCTACAAATTGCACCATAAGGCTCACTTTTGTGGCTGAGATTATTTTTAATAAAATAAAGTAGCCCTCCCAGCTGCTTGGGTGAGCCAGAGCGCTGGAGATGCTCTCGATCTCACCAGCTGTTTAATTTTAGCACCTTATTACTGCAGCTCTGGGGCTTTTGCTGCTGCAGGGGCTTGGAAAGCCCTCGGTGACACAGAGTTCCCTGGAAGCTCCGACCTGAGCACTTACCGGACGGGCCGGACTCCGGGCCACAAGCGCCTCTTTGAAATCCTGTATTTATGAGCAAATATTTAACAAAATGACAGGAAAGCCTTTTTAAAACCACAGCCAAGAGTCATTTTGAAAGTCAAGTAATCCGTGTTTGTAAATATTCCAGCTGAAATAGTTGTTTTCTCCTAGCTACTTGAAAAGGAAATTTTCTAGGAAAGTCCCCAGGGAAATATTTCAAATAAAATGCAACATCCCTTTGGTATAAGTGAAGTTTATCTGAAATTTATCAAGCTGACTTTCTCACTAACTGGTGGCATTGGGTAGGCCAGTTGTGCATGATGGGACACACATAGCCTGTCATAATGCAATTTTAGGCTCATATTGACAAAATGATTTTCTCCCTAAATGCAAACATATGTAAGCTTTCAGTGAGCATCAGTTACACACCCTTAAAAACTGCATTACTGTTAACTCAGTGCTGCTTTTAAGTGAAGACTGGGGTTAATAAAGGAGAGCATGTAAAGAAATACACTCTCACTGTATTATTTTCACTGAAAATATTCAGTTGCTACTTTTGAAATCTTAATATGTGTTTTTCAGATATCCTGAATTTGTTTCTTTGTTCTGTGAGAGCTTGGGAGAAATGAATACGGACGAATTATTTCATAAAACATACAAAATGACTGCAGATTGACAGTTAAATCTGTAATAGTGAATACATTCAATTTTCCCCTTTGTTCTGTCGGCAGTCACTTGTACTCAAGATGTCTGTTTAATTTTTTAAATAGATTAACGGGAAATGTTTGCAGTATTTGATTATTGAATTGAGTTTTCCAAATAATGGATTTTTTTCCTCAAATATTTATGTGTTCTCAGAAATGTTTTTCCATAAGGAGAAAGTGCTAAAGATGAACAGGGAGCATATCTGGAGAGATCTGAAGCGCACGCCTCATTGGAAATCACTGTACACTTGCATTTTGTTGGAGGAAAAAACAGTTTGTCATCTGCACCGCCTTCCAAAATTAGATTCACATAATCCCACCTTTTTAAGTAAATAAGCAGCAGATTGGTCTTAAAAATGAAATTCCAGCGAGCTCTTGATACGCGATATAAAAAATAAATAAGCTGCTATGTGAGCAACGTGGAGCATTTTGATGATAGATGATAATATAGATTACCTTTGTTGTTTACATAATTAGACGGGGCAGGGAAGGGAGAGGGAAGGAGCCGCGTTCGGGGGGGCTTTTGTTCAGCCCCGGGTGCGTCGGGGAGCGGCGACGCTCCGGCACTCCCGGCGCACGGATGAGGAATTGTATAGGAAATTTGCAGCTGCTCTAGTTATTCCGTAAGATTTGTATAAGCTGGCACAAGGGACAAAATTAGAGGGAACTTGAACCAGCGCCGTGCGGTTTATTAGCTCGGCAGCCATAATTTTGACCTTGCTGTGGGTTAAAGGACACAGACCTGCGAAGAAATCTGTTTATCATGTAGGGAATTCATGCCATCCCTGACAGTGTACAGTGAGCAAGATGGATGATCTGCCAAATTGGTCCCTCGCATGGGTGAATCAGGGCAAATTTACAGTACAATTCCTTTGCTGCTCCTGATACAAAAATAACATTTGCTGGGTTTGGTATTCAGTTGTATGATGACCTAGGGTGAAGCAGAGAAAAGAAATAAGATTTGTAGGATCCATATTGCTTTAAAGATTTATAGGAACCTAGCTTTTCTTTTTTTATCTGCCTCTTTTACATCTTTCATAAAGCTCTGAGGAAAGATTCCCAATTGCTTGGTTTGAGAGAATAACTTTATGTAAGTGTGTCAGGGAACCTTTCTTAAACAAGACGTTGTAAAAGCTTCTGTTAGCTTGAAAAGCAGCATTTTACCATGAGCCCTGCTTCTTTTGAACCCTGCTTTTACTAAAGCACTTTGCCGTAGTATTTACGCTGTGCTTTCCATGCTGCATGATCTGCATATTTTGCAATTATCTGATAGTGTTCTGGAAAATGAACAAACGTGGGAAAAAAAAGGTGGAATTTGGTGTTAGCCTTTGCTTTGCTAGTGATAGGACCTGGCGCCACCGAGTGAATTGCTGTTGCAGGGGTGCAGCAGTGCTCAGCAAAACACCCACTGCTGTCACACAGAGCAAGGGTTTGCTGTGGGCTGGACTCCTAAGTGTCCTCCAGAGATCTGGAGATGAACCCGAGATAGGTGCAAGAACTGTGTAAATCAACGACATGGGGACTGCCAGAAGGAAGCGATGCCCCAGAAAGGGAAAAGCGGATGGAGAAATCTAATGCATTCTTTGTCATTTGTAGGGGATTGTGCTTCTCGATATGTTCTCGCTGTATGGTTGCTTGAAAAGAAAAGTTCGGCCTGTGCTCTGCCTTAGATGTTTGGATTCTCTGCAAGAAGCAGTTAGCAACTTCCATTTAAAGAGAAATGTGACCTTATTGAGGGAAACAGTATTTTGCATATAAGTTGCCATTGGAAAAATTAACAGATTCAGAAAGCTTTCTTTCAAACAAAACAAGTAACATTTTGTTGTCTCCAGATACGCTGTCTCCCTGTTGGATTCTTTAATACTTTGTTTTGTTACAACATAAGATTAAAATATAATTCATGCTTGTTTCTGGGCAAAGGGAAGTGTGAAAATGTGATGCAAATGATATGAAACAAAATATGGAATCAGCAACGTTCTCAAGATAAGTTGTGTCATCTCTAGAAAAGCCTTCACTGATACTACAGCGTCGTGGTTAACTGAGTTTCTTATTAGGCACAAAAAGATATTTGACCTAGTCGGTAATAGTAGATGTAAGAGAGTTCTTATAGGAATGTAAGAAAAGCTAGACCATGAGATTTCCTGTCCAAGGACATTTCTTGTAACCTTACAAAGTATTGCACTTCATATCTCCCTAATTTTATTTATTTATTCATATTTGTACATCTTGCCTTTACGAGAAAGCAGAGATGACCCAGGGTAGAATTACAAAATAACTCTGTTTTTAAGAAGAAGTCTTTCAGTAACCCAGGCATAACAAGTAGCATTTTGCATTCTTAGGCATTTCTTTAAGTAGGTAGAATTTAAATGGGAAGGAAAGTTAAATATCCTGCAATCAAAACACTACAATCATGCTTTTTTTTCTTTTCTTTTAAATTCCAGAAAGCACTCCAAAGACTTCTGCCAGTTGCAGCCCTGCTCCTGAATCTCCTATGAGCTCCAGCGAATCCGTGAAGAGCCTGACGGAATTGGTACAGCAACCCTGTCCTGCTATAGAGACAAGTAAGGATGGCAAATCACAAGAATCTAGTGAGCCACCCGCCTCCGAATCCCAATCTACAACACCTTTGCCTCTGTCTGGCCACTCAGCCCTCAGCATTCAAGAACTGGTTGCTATGTCACCCGAATTGGATACGTATGGCATTACAAAAAGGGTCAAAGAAGTGCTAACGGACAACAATCTTGGTAAATTGCTTTATTCTCATCTTTGCTGAAATAAAGAGGACGTGTTCGTGCGATGATTTTTAAGTTATGTTTCCATAGACAAGGATACCTGCTTTGGGCTGTGGCCTAAACTGTAATCGGTTAAGAAGAATTTTTCGTAACCCAGTAGGAAAATCCTTTCAGACCGTAGTGCTCTACGTCATAACAAAATGTCATCACAACCTTGCTTTTCTTAAGCTTTGCTTCTGGCTCACCAGCCAGATAGTGCTCCCAGCTCCCTAAATACAGCCCAGCGGGCTGTAAAGGCCACCAAAATCCCAAAGGCAGTGAAGTGCCCTCCTGAGACCTGCTGATTCCCCAGTGCTCCATTAGGGCCCCAGCATTCAGGCACAGGTGAAGCAAAGGGGTCCCTGCATGGCTGGAAAGCAAAGGGCATCAGAGGCAGAAGCATAGTGTGCCTGCAGAGCTAGAAGGTGAATTGAGACTCCATCAGGGTTTATATGAACCTGTAGGTAAATCTTTGGGGCCATTTAGTTATTTTGCTTAAACACCTACAGAGCTGAGGCTACTTTTGTCTGCAGATGAGCTTTTGGGTGCCAAATTAAGTGTAATGTTGATACAGCTGACTACGTTTGGAGTAGGCCAAGGGGATAACTTGATGTGAGGACGGCAGGTTTGGGAAATCCACACTTAATATTTCCACAGTGCCTCTGAATAAGTCACTAGTTCTTGTCCGCTTAACACGTCCGTCCCTCCCAAGGCGTTGGGAAGCCCTTCGGAGTTTTTTGACATCTCCAGCTGGAAGGTAGTAAAGGTGCTTCAGTGTTACCTATATCCTCTTCTGGTGTTTAGCGTGGGGTTCATCTCATCTGCATGTAGACGTTCAAAGCAGATGCCTGAGATGATTGGACGAATCACTCTCCAGAGGTGAAATATGGCTTAGATTTTTAAAAATGGGAAGATTATTGGGCATGGAGGGAAGGGAGGTGGCAAGGTCTCATACAGCAAAACTTGGGGAGAAAACAAAAAAGGAAAGAGAATGAGCTGATTCTGGACGTACTCATGCATGAGAGTGTGTCGCACCGAGCCCATCAGAACTGCCCAGTCATGTGCGTTGGTGTGAGCAGCCCGTGATTGCTTGTTCAGTGGAGTTGGTGTAGAAATAAAGCCACAAGCCATGGCAAGGGTTAGCAGGTTCCAGCCCCTAGTTTTTGGGCAAAATGCTGTTGAGTGCTGTACCTGCTCTGGTGTTCCAGAGAGGCTTGAAAAGTTTTTTTGTTTACATTTGCTTTGATGCCATTTTTACTTAGTCTTTTTTATTTCCCATGATTTTTGTTTTCCTACAGTGTGGCTGACAAGCCTAAAAAGCAGCAGAAGAGCCAGGAAATGTGCCCCAAACTCTGCATTAGGTGTGGAACCAGTTTCAATGTCTCCTTTTGCGCCCTCAGTGTGCTAGTGCCCCAGGCTGACTTGGTGCTCAGGTTTCTCTGCCTCAGGCCACAGGGCCTTGTGAACCTGCCCTAGGCCAAGTCTTGGTGGCTCTCGGTCATTCAAATAACATCAGCCACTAAAGACCACAATTGTGTGAAACTATTTAAGGTGACTTGGCAAACCAGAACATGTTTGGCGGGTCTCTCCTCCCATTGCTTTTAGTATTCCTAGCCCTGAATGTCATCGTTTTATGTATGTCAGGACAACGTGTCATTTAGATACAGAGGGAGGAAAATGCAAAGAGCTATTGAGAAATTGCAGTGTTGGGGGGATTTTGCAGCATAGGCCAGGCCTGGTCATGAACATATCATAATTTACAGAAAATTTGGTCCTTTAGGAGCTGCATCAGTGGGAACATGCACAAAGGATAATAGGCAAAAAGAGGGGGAACTAAAGGTAACTTTATGAAAACTGTTCCTAAAAATATTGGAGTCATGAACAGCTCTCTGGTGAAGATTGACTGTGATACACCTACTACCTCCTGAGAATGATTTTTAATTCCTCATCAGCTTGGGAGTCTTTCGGGTGTTTGAACCTATCCTGCTGTATCCTGGAATAGATTAAATAGCACAAACATCTTTAGCTTTGCCCATAGTACCCACTGAACATGATATTACCTCCTTCCACTTCTGGATTTAAAATATTTAGGCTGTAGTTTGCAGTTTATTTCCTTCGGCAGCATTGCTCATACCTGCTCCGGGCCATTTATTCCTGCCCCAGAATTGCTAATTCACAATGGTATTTCTGTTGTGTGTTCACACGATAAACCAGAGCAGGCAGCTGGTCTCAGTGAAAGGGACCACTCTATTTCTGATAGATTAGTGTGACTTAGGTCAGTTCCCTGCTCCGATTTACGGCAGAGCCATGTGGGTGATCGTGGTAGCCTGAAGGGGACAGCACAGGGGCCTCGTGGCGACTGAGAGCAAAGCTGCTCACGGGGCAGCTTGGGTACCCCAGGGGATGCAAAACAGCGGGAAAAGTTGGTTACAGAGGAAAAAAAAAAAGAGAGATTTTTAAGGTAGCTGTCTCAGTGCTAGTATTTAGCTGCAACTAGCTGGCCCCTTTCAAGGTAAACGGACAAAGAGGATATAGGTTAACTTTAGAATAATGATGATCCCAAATTGGCCCCAAATTGCAATGTTTTTTTTTTCCAGATTTTCCTGATACTGAGGGTTTGAAAGAAAAGAAAGTCTGTATTTAAGCCATTAAGCTGAAAATCATTTATTGTTTTGGAACTTAAGAAAATTCTGCATTTATTTTTCTCTTTCATCTCCAGCAGCCAAGGACAGGGTTAGTTTTAGAGGTCGCTAGACTCTCTTGTTCACCCCGTACGAAATCACACACCCGTATGCGTGGGAAGCAGCGAAGGGCTTTACGCACCGCGTGTCCGTGAGGGTGCTCACGCAGCTGAGGAGCACACACAGGACAGAGCAATCTTTGGGTTACCTGGAAAATGCACAATAGCTGCAATTCCCTCAGAAATCACCCGTTATGGCTCTGATGACTCCAGGCTCAGTCTTGTAACAGAAGCTGTTACTTATCAAGGCAGTTTAGCCTAGGAGGAACATCGAAGTGAGGCTTTTAGGGAACCAGCTGCATGGTTGGGTTGAAGCTCCACAGAATTTTTCCATAGTCCTAATAACTTAGATCCTAACTATAAAAAATTATTAACGCACATAGGAATGGTATATGTAGAAATCATATGTAGTTCATATCATAGTAGACTATAGTGTTTTGAAAGACAACTGAGATAAAGTATTCTTAACTAGAAGTACTATAGAGGTTATTTAAGAATATTAAAAAGTTGGTTTTGTAAAATGGGATTATGTACAGTTGCTAAAAAACTATTAGAAAGCCAGCAATCACATAACAACACAGAAAATATTTGCTAGTGTCTTGTTAGTGTCGTTGAGGACACTAATAAAACTGTTGCTGGACAGGGGTTTATGTTGGTTTTGATTCACGGATTATTTGAGATGTTTGTCTATCGGGTTGCATTGAAGCTGTTACAGTACCTTCCCTCATAAGAACTAAGTAGCCTCACTGCTGTCCCTGAAGTTGCCTGCTTAACCAAAAGTTTGGTTCACTTTTAATCGTCTCATTAATTTTATTTTTTGTGCCCTGTTTCCACTGTAAGGTCCTGACCCCCAAAGGTGTTGAGCTCCCCTCCTTGCCACAGTCAGATCCCAAGGATTAAACTAAAGCTTAATATGTAGACCTTTAGTGAGGGGAGAGTTTTTATTCTTCTAAGTGTTTCTCTTGGGTTTTCAAGCAATTCTGAAGTAAGAATAATTGGCAAATGATCTTATAGTCATGTTTTGCTTTTGGTTTTTGGGGGTATTTTTTTGCTTAGTCTTGTCTCAGTCTGAGTGATTACATGTGATTTTCAAAATCAATTGGATTTTTAATGTCAATTTTCAATTTCATATTAGGTCAACGTTTGTTTGGGGAGACAATCCTGGGGCTAACACAAGGCTCCGTCTCAGACCTTCTGGCTCGCCCTAAGCCCTGGCACAAGCTGAGTTTGAAGGGCCGGGAACCCTTTGTCCGCATGCAGCTGTGGCTCAATGATCCCAACAATGTGGAGAAGCTGATGGATATGAAGCGAATGGAGAAAAAAGGTAACCTGGAGCAGACTGCGGATTTCCTGTAGTTCAAAAACACCATCTTCTTTTAAAATACTCTATAAATAGTATACAGGCAGTATCCAGTACTGTATAGGCAGATACTACAGGCAGTATCCAGTATTATAAAGGCGATGCAAGGGGCTTTGCGACAGCTTTTTCATAGCCTGATTTGATGCTAGCTTCAGGAGATACATCTCAGAAAAAAACTCAAACCCTGAGTACTCACCAGCTGTCAGGAAATCATGGCTAGATTCTCCTATAGATTAATTACTGAGGCCCTGGTGTATCACTGATAACTTGCCTTACCAAATGAGAAATGTGAGTTTGGGAGCTGGCTTTGGGTTATTAGTTAATGCTGCTGCAGCTGGTCACAGATGTTGGGCTGGAGTTGCCGAGCGCCAATTCCAGAGAGAGCTTCTTGCCATCCAGCACTGATGGTCACAAGGAGGAAGGGAAAATGCAGCCTTTATAAAACACTATTTGAGAATCATTTGCTTAATTTAATTTGTAGCCATTGTAGGGCTGGGGAAAGGTGACTGTGCTGAGAGAGACTTGCCTAAAGGGGCTGGATCTCAAGTGTGAGTATCAGCTAGAGAGTGTGTCCTGAGAATTCAGCCTACTCTATATGTAATTCATCCCTAAAAAACAGAGGTTATTCAGAGCCCTGTTTTTACTATGTCCATGTGATTTTTACAACAAAGAGAGACTCGTAGGCTGTCATTATCAGCAGTTAACTAATTAATGATATATACATCTCTCAAGAGCTATTCCTTAATGATATTAGTACAGACAGTATTAATCGTGTGCACTGAAAGAACTGCTGTTGACTGATGTCCTGAAAGCATTAACGCATTTGATCAAGAATTTCGTGATTATATTAAAAGCTGTAGTTAGGTTGGTGCTGGGGAAAACAGCAGAAAAAGAAGAAATTTGAATCCTTGTTGCATTAAATGTCTGCAATACAGTGCAGTGCAGAATATTATTGCAAATTGTGTGCGAGCTTCCACTGGGAGTAAAATTCGCTTGGGTTTCTCACTTACAACTGTAAACCAAAGGGAGCCTTGATATTTTTTTCCGTATTAGAAATACGGCAGAAATAAAATTGTCAACTAGCTGGATTTTTATAGCCTCTAAGAGAATATCCCTCATACT